AGAGTTGATGCTTTTGAGTTGTGGTGCTGGTGAAGAATGCTGAAAGTACCATGGACTGCTAAAAGAACTAACAGATCTGTCCTGGAGGAAGTGCACCCGAAATGCTTCTTGGAACCGAGAATGGCCAGACTTCATCTCACCTACTTTGGTCATGTTGTCAGAAGGGACCATTCCATGGAGAACGATGTCATACTTGGTAAGGTGGAGGGTCGACGGAAGAGGGAAAGGCCCTCAATGAGATGGATTGACACAGTGGCTCCGATGATGGGCTCAAGTATAGCAGGGATTGTGGAGCTGGCGCGGGATCGGGCAGAGTTTCGTTCTGCTGTGCATGGGGTCGCTATGAGTCGGAAACGACTCGACGGCACCTAACAACAACAAGGACAGTTTGAACAGAGGATATTTGAGCTAGTACTTGCAGAAGATTATTATTTTTTTTTCTGGGTAGACAGTGTAGTGATAGAAGAGCAGGTGGCACTAGTAGACTCAAAGAAGGAAAAATGACATGGTCAGAGTGCTTCAGGTTTTTGCTTAAGGACACACAGAGCTGCACAGAGTGTAACTGCCAACCTTAAAATGAAAGAAAACCTGGAAAAATGGCAAAGGTTTTGAAACCTCTGGAGAACTGAGACCACAAGGCAAGTGAGCAGTCCCAAACTTACAGAGGGACAATAACCTGCAGGGAGATAAAAGATACAACACTACCTTACCAACTGGCCACTGATCAGAGTTCATGTATAGTCAATTGATGGAGGCCAAGTATGCACTATCAGTAGGGTGTGAAATCCATGGGGATCTCAGAAATTGTGGCGTCTGCCCACCAAAATTGGAGACAATTTTAAGAAGGTGTCCCTTTTGGTATAGCCCAAATCAAGAAACCAAACTCACTGCCGTGGAATTGGATCGGACTCATAGTGACCCCTCCTTGGGTTTCTGGGGCATTATCGCTATGGAAGTAGATTGCCCAACCTTCTTTTCCAGGAGTGGCTGGTGGATTTGAACTACAAGCCTTCTGGTTAGCAGTCAAATGTGTTAGGCATTACACCACCAGAGCATGTTGTTGTTGTTATTTGCCGTGGAGTCACCCTGACTCATAGCGACCCCTCCTTGGGTTTTGGAGGCAGTATCACCACCAGAGCATAGGATATGCTAATTAAAAGGTGGAAACAATTAGAAAAACAAAAGGACTTACATTCCAGAGAGAGAGAGAGAACATTGTAACCACTTAATTTATTTTGATCTGTCTTCTATATTTATTATTAAAAGTTATTTTGAAATATCAGAGGATGAAGTAAATAGCTTCCAAGTATGCTCCAACTTGACCTCTGTGAAAAAAACAAATTACAGTTAAGGTTCAATAGTGTAATGCAAAATATATATCTGATATATGTGTAGTTGTTTTATCAAAACACAGACTCATTTCAAATGCATGTGTGTGTTTTAAGATAAATTACTACAATACACTGCTATGTCAGTTTGATTCATTTCCTGCGGCCCCAGTGTAGTGACTATGTTGTATAGTTTAACACTTTTATTTCTAAGGAAAAATGATGAGTATTTTATTTAATTGTATCGGGCAATCTACTTCTGTAGTGATACTGCTTCGGAAACCCAAGGAGGGGTCGCTATGAGTCGGGTCTGACTCAACAGCACATAACATAACAACAATCTTTCTCTGAAATAATTTTCATTTATGTGTTGCTTCCTCTAACATTTGCCAAACGATAATATAATATATAATTTAAAAGCAACAACAACCAAACTCCCTGCCGTCGAGTCAATTCCGACTCATAGCGACCCCTCC